GAGTATTTTCATTTTTATTTTTAACAAGATATGGGGAAAAAACAGGTGCATGATTTTAAATCGAAATTTTAAAACCGGTCATTTGACTGGGGCGTGGTACAGTTAGTGTTAATGCTCGATAGCTTTCCAAGTAAAGGACAGTTCTTTGTTATCGTTACTTTTTTTTTTTGGGTTTCTTTTCTTTTCTTTTCCCGTGTACAAAAGTTTCAGCGCATTCTTTAGAAAAATATTCTTAAAACGCGATCTCGCGTTGGAGAAACGTGTGCGTTACATTCAGAAGCGATACAAATATAGAAACTTCTTTTTTCCTTTATTCCGTTTTCGTGCATCAGAGTGTATATAATACTTAGAAAGCTATCCCGTGGGCAGTCAATGAGTGTCCTTACATTTCCTCCTTTTTTCTTCTTCCCCCCTCCTCCCAACTTTACTCTCTCTTTCTTTTCTTTTTCGCATTATTTTTTCCTTTTTGCCAATCTATGGTTTTCGCGAAGCACAAAAAACCCAGGAGGGCGAAAAAACGTAACGATAATAGAGCGAGAGCGATTACACGTTTCACAAAGAGGCCCTTTGATTCGCCGTTGAAAGGCTTTTATACGCGGTTATTATCGTCGTCTTTTAATAGAAAAACTGCGGTTATAATCTACGGGATCACAGCGAGACTATGAATTTTCCGAGTGATAAAATAGAGGATACGAATAATTATATCTGTTGCTCCCCCCCCTTTTTCCTTTTCTTTTCTTTCTTCCTTGCCTGTTTATATACTTGAGTACAGTAACGAAATGGATGGCCGATTCGCTACGTCGGTATACGCTTCACCAATCTTAAACTGACGAAACGTATTAGCACCCTTCATTAGTCGAATGCGCGAGGGTATCTCGAATTTTCTCTCTCTCTCTCTCTCTCCCTCTCTCTCTATTTTGAGTACTTTTCTTCATCGTCACATTTAACCTACAAATTAATTTTAACGAATATTATAAACATTAATATTTTGGAATGAAAATACAAAGAAAAGTAAAAAATAACCTTTAGCCTATACGAAACTAATCTAACGAAAATTAATGAACTTAATTCAAAATTTTTTAATCTTTTAACAAATTTATAATGCTCTACGATGTCAGAGAGAAAAATACCCAGCCACGCATATTCGCTACGAAATGACGTTTCTAAAAGTGCACCGACAATTGGAGAGAACGAATTAAATGTACGATCGATAACACCTCCCAAGAATTCTGTATCGTTTGACTCCGTTTTTTCTTTTTCTTTTTCTTCTAACTACCAATGATAGAAATACTGTACATCAGTTCGTTTGAAACTTTTCAGTTCGACAATACGGTCCACCGATATGTTCGAACCGGGAAGCGGTATCGCTCGTGTACAATTCAACATTCGTAATCGATCCGAAAGACAGGTAATTGAGACGAACAAGTAGATATTATACAAACTATAAATACACGTTTTTTTGTTTTTTTCTTTTCGTGAAATTAGAATTAAGATCCTTCGGTTAAACTCATAAAAAAAAGAGAAGATAATCGATCGAACAACCCTTATTTTTTGTTAAGGTACGTCGTGCAGCGATCACACGGAAATTAATGACTTTGATGGTGACGTTAAATAATAACATATCGAGCTAATGTAATGACTGTTATGGTATAAAAGCGGTATTTAACATCGGATAATATGATTTTTGATCACACGAGAAAAATTACACACGACCTACTACTACTTATAAGGGAGTCCATTGCTTCTTTTTTTTTCTTCTTTTACATGTATTTGTTTATATTCACGAACTCAATGATAATCGATTTTCGAAAGGAGATTTTTTGTTCGTACAAAGCAATGGATATATTGGATTATTATTATTATTACGAGTACCACATACGTATTTTGCAGTTGAAGGGATCAATGTACCAGCAAGCCTTTGTGAAAACACACATCTCAAAGTTTCACCTCCTCTTGCTGGTTTAAAATTGGCTATAAAACTTTTTGGAATTGTATAAAGATCTTGTATTTTTGTTTCTATTATACACACTTTACCATATAAATCCTATAATTATGTTTACGATTGATGTTATGCACTAATGTTCTTCTGTAATATTACTGTAATCTCCTTTCTTCCTCATTCCTTTCATTGCTCTTCATTATGCCTTGACTGATTCAAGCATTGGATGTTATGCTTTGGATTCCTATTCTGATCAAGGTAATCCTTATTGAAATAGGAATACAGACAATATGTGGTATGCAATGGAATTATATTGAAATCTGATGAGAACACAACTGTTCAAATATCATGGTCTCAAATATAAAATTCTACCCATTGACCACCATTTTCAATACTCCATGTTCATCTTAATAAAATGTATTTCTACTATTAGAACTGTACAATCAATACCAATACCATTAACGACACACCATTTAAGCCCTCTATACAAAGTATTCTTTACTGCAGCCTCTGACAATTGAGCATAGGTAATATATCGTTAATGGAAATCATTGCACAATGTGTCTAAGACCATCTGTCTTCTTCCCAATTTTTGTCTGTACATTGTAAACAACATTTACTTCAATGCTTCAAATTCTTTTCACTATTTCAAATGGCTGACCACCACAGTGATTCCTTCAATATCTGCAAATAGCTTGGATGCTTCGTCAATCAGCATCTAACCTACGAGTAATAGAGGTTCATGGACTGAAACAAATACGCAACAGGTGCTTGTTTTTAGATTGAGCAGAAAGCTAGACATATCAAGTTTGGTTTTGCTGTCAACAAGTAACAACTACCACAGGGCAGTTCTATTATCACCCTTGACGTTATCTGTGTCCTTCCCTATTCTTCTTTGCTATTCCCCTCTCTCACTCTTTCTCTTTCGAGTATTGGTCCTTTGCTGACGGAGTTACTTCTTTCATTGCCCACTTACATCTATTATTATATATTACAATAATATTACACATAATACTATCCATGTATATTAAAATATTTAACAGCCGGCCGAACAGCAGGCTGTGATTTTCCAATAGAAAAAGAACCAAGAGACGGCATGAGTCTTTGACGTATTCAAATTCACAAAAATCCAGGGTACGATCGTAATATTAGTCTTACAGATTGGCGATTTCACAGCACAAGCCCAGGGTTGAGCCTAAGAGAGAGAGCGTAGCCACTGAATGAATAAATTTCACCCAGTGTACTGCGATCAGCCACTATATGCGTGTTCCTTTACCTAACATGGCTTGGTTAGCCTGGTTCAGGATTTTGATTAATTATTAGAGGACGCTGCAACAGCAGTAGCTCTTCTTCTCTTTCTCAGGGCTGAAGTTCATCTCGCGTACAATTTCCGCAAATACTTCGTTGACGTTCGTGCGACTCTTTGCGGATGCTTCAACGAATGGACAGCCCCAAATTTGTGCCAAAGCATTACCCTCGGCGGTATCCACTTCACGTTGATGTTCCAAATCGACTTTGTTCGCGACAAGCAACACCGGCACCCTCTCAGTACCTTTGACGCGTGTTATCAATTCCTTCATTGTCTTGATATCTTGGAAAGTCTGATGATTCGTCAGACTATAAACGACGACGAAGCCTTGACCGTTCTTTATATAAAGATCGCGCATACTCGCGAATTGTTCGGTACCGGCAGTATCGAGGATCTCGAGTACACACGGCGAGTTGTCTACCTCGATCTCTTTTCGATAAAAGTCCTCGATTGTCGGATCGTACTTCTCCATGAAACATCCCGAAACAAATTGCACGGTAAGTGCACTCTTGCCTACCCCGCCCGAGCCGAGGACGACTACCTTGAACTCGCGCATCTCTTTGGCAGTTCGCCTCCGTCTCCTCCTCCTCCTCCTCCTCGACGTGTCCAGGACCGAGAGGAAGGCTCTCTCTCTCGAGTACCTAGCCGATTATCGTTGCACGTTTGTTCCTTCTCGAACACAAGAGAATCGACTGCCGCTACTACTAACTCCGTTCTCGTATTCTTGTAACAAGCGCGTACAAACGTGAACAGTTCTTATTGCCGAACAAAGGCATTGATGATGTTACTGGACGATAGATCGTGCACAAGATTTCACCGTAATCGAAACGTAGCCGTTCTTAAGACCCGAACAAGACATGACAGCACCGTATTCGCACTCTCTGTCACACACCGCAGTCCCCTGGCGACGTTCGCCTGGCCTGCCTCCTTCCTGTCTTTCCTCTACCCCTCACTTCTTCCCTAGGTCTGACGTGCGTGACGCCATCTTATCACACTTGGATTTTCTTTCAACCTCCTGCATGAACATCGAGCACTGTCTCTATCGTAACGACTTGCCACTAGTTTACGCGCACCCAATATATATCTTTCCAACACTTATCACGTAGGATCCAAAATCGAGTTTTAAGACGTGTTTCCAAATTTTCCAGCGTTCCTTCTTTTTCCTCCGTCAGACCGTTCTATGATTGGTGAATACCGATCGAGTTGGAAAAGCCGGACGAATGGCAGCACTGGACGAGGAGACTGACGTTAGCTCTTTCTTTGTGTAGGCCCCATACCCGAGGAAAATAGTAAGAGAGGAATCACGGAAACTCCCTTTACCGGATGCAAGTGTCATTCTCTTATCTTCCAGACAGCACTATCCACGACCTCGACGCTCCCAAGCGTTCAGTGAGTTTTATTAATATTATCAAACATTCCTTAAAATCATGCTTGATCCAGATACATCTAATTTTTTTTTTTTTCTTAAATATTACAACACATCGCCCCATATATCGTTAAGATGTTCTATTAACAACAATGACTTCAGATGTTCAAGAATTGTCATTGTTATTTATTAGCAAAATTCACCTAAATTGCATTTCATTTAATAACATTCAAACGGAAATGCGACGTTAACCCAAAGCAAGAATCAAGACTCGTATGATTCATTGGATACAAATTACTCTTCGTTGTTAATGTTTGCAATGTTAATCTGTCGTTTTCGTAAGGAAGCGATCGTATTGAGTCATTGAGCGTCATAGAATGTATTGTTGGACTGTACGAAATTTCCCACTACATGAGAACACTGCATAAACGTGATTCCTTAAAATAGATCAATAAAGAAAAATCTGAGTAGACGTGCGTAACTAGAAAATTTGATTTTTCTCAAGTGTATTTTTTTCACGTATTTCTGTCGAGCATTCCTTTTCTTTCCCGTGTCGAGAAAAAAAAGTACAGAAGAAAAACGAGAGAGAGAGTGGGAAGGAGAGAGAACAAGAAGCAACACGTAAGTTCTATGTTTCGTTTTCCACCATCAAAAGGGCGTAACCATGCTTTTCTGAAAAACCGGAAGCGCATGTTGCCACCGTATCTTGCGGTTTACACAGGCCTCCCAATTCTTTTGTATTGGTGTGCTGTATAGATACGTCATTCCAGCAGTCACGACACTGACGACCTTGTGGTATGCGAACGCAGACACATGTGAGACACGATGACATCATCTGATGAAAGTGTACATAACTGAACAATGCATCACTTTACGTAGTATTTGGTGACGAACGGTGGTAATTAGTCAGTGAGGGCTAATTCTCATTGATCTTTCGTGAAATCACGTACCTTTTCGATTTAACAAAATTTTTTTATCAAACAAGGAAATTGTCTATGTATATATTAACCAACATTAACTGAATCGTTTCAAATAAATCATCACGAAATTCTATTTGCAAGATAATAAATTATATTCTACTAAACATTTTTGTAAATTTATAGTAATATATCTCATGAATATTAACATCTGTTAAAATAATAAATAAGCAAATTGGAAGATAGAATGGGCAAACAATTTTAATTACATGAACGAGTAAATGGAATGATATACTTGAAGATAGCGTTGAATCAGCTGTCGTTGGACGTACAGAACAATGCATATGGTTCTCGCAATGCACGTGCACTTATCGCCATGCTTATCCATGGTTTTCAGTGTCATTAATTGGGACAACACTGAAACTTCATTGCCGCCTTCAATCGTGTAACGTTAATTCGTATAATTTTCGTCGTTCCTGATTCCATGTTCGTTCGTTCACCGGGAAAAGCGTAATCAGTGCGTGTTACGAGTGCGCATTGGGAAAAAAATCGCACGAACGAAAAGTTATCGAGGTTGTTCGCAATAAACGAGGAAACCGTCGATTAGGCCTCATGAGACCTAATTCAAGGCTATTAAAAAGTAGTGCATACAATGAGGTGGAAACTAGTTTAAGGTGTCACTTTTTTTTTCGATCCACAATAAACTTTTCTACGTATGTACACGTTTACGGCACATTTACTTTACCGACTAATATTTCCCTTCTTTTTTTTTACAAGAATATTAATTACTTGATTATCTCATTCTTCGATGTTACTAAAATTAATGAAACATAAGAATTAAAAAGAATTTCAATTTATCTAACATGAAAGCTGTGCATATTTCCGCAAATACATCCATTGTATCGATGAAATGTACATAACCTAAACAGATTATATAAAAGTGAAAATATAGACATTGAAAAAAATATACAGTATGTTTCATGTAAACTGTTACGAACTGTTAACTTGGACATTATTAGGAACAGTGACAAAATGCTTTTTTGATATACAGTGGTTTATGTGGGCCTCTCGTGAGATATCTTCAGGGGGGCCAACAGTGAAACCCCCTGCATCCCACGAAATGCCCTCGTGTATAAATAAATGCTGAAAAAGAATTTAGTCGCTATCTTTAATAGTTCCCGAGATAACAGCTTGTAATACTTAATATGGAACACCCTGTACATGCGGTAACGAAAAGATGATGAAATGCATTTTATTGACACATGAATAATGGTAGAAACAGATTTCTACAATGTCACGCAGTTTATTCTTAATTGAATATATAATAGTATAGTTTATGCTACGATGGAATTGGTATATAGTCAGTAACATTCGTGCAAGTTATCGATCATAGACATATCGAGAGACAAAGGATTGTTATCAATAAAAAAACCTCGAGTTATCGGTTATAGTTCATATAGTTCATATCCTCACGTAAGTTACAACGACCTTTACGAGCGGACAATGACCTGAGCATTTCAATAACATAAACAGTGTTACGATTAGAGTTTCGTCACCGCACGATCTTTTTGGTAACTAATTTCTAGTGCAACTGCTCTGTAGATAAGGAAGAAAGTCGTACAGAGACTGTTACCGATCGACAAACTCTACAAACATAACCTAAATACCAAAACAAAAGTAAATAAAGCTAAGAGAAAATTGTTTGACTCTCAATTTTTATGCAGAATCATATCGTTCAGCTTGTATATAGTACAGTAAGTTTTTCAAATGTTTCAGCTCAAACAATTAGCTCAAATGCACATGAACCCTCAAAGATGCACTTTCCTTTTTAATAGAAATACCTACTATATCAAACATTTAGAATGCCGTAATCTTGGTGTCATTGAACTTTGAAAGAATTCGAATATGTTCAACTTCTTTCTTTGTTAAAGCAATGGAGTTTATAAACATGAAATTCGACTGAAATATACGATCATATTTTTTAAAACATGAAAGTAACAGAATTCTTTAAGTATTCATGAATTCATATTGCATTATTCTTTAATCATTAACATAAATGAAATATGAAATTCTTATCATAAACGGACGAAATAATTTTGGATTTAGACAAGAGAAACATGACTTCTCCGTATGCTGTACCACCGTCGCCATTTCCGACAATGCAACCTATTGCAACTGCACCACCACCTAGTGCATTTCCGATGCCGCAACCTGGAATGCCACAACCCGGAATACCAATGGTACAGCAAGGTAGAATATTAATACGTTTTCTATATTCATTTATTTTTATTAGGTCAACAGAGAAGTTCGTGTCGATTTTTACATCGCATTTTAAACTGATATCGTACACATACTTTTAAACAAATGTAAATTGCAAAAATACTTTTGTCACTTACTTGATTCAAATGTACTTGAGTAATACGTTCAGAACTTTCTTCGTCTTTTAAACAAAAATATTTTCCTTACTTTTTCAAACACTAAGAACACTTATACACTAAGAACTGGTCTCTAAACTGTTTGCAAATAGTCTGGCCAAGCCTAATGTTCATTTTATCGTTGTTTGTTTAGAAAGCATACCGTGAAGAATGTAAATGTTAATTTTTGCTAGGCTTATGATTATACCACTCGTTTACGAATGTACAACTATATGTTTGTATGTTTATGACGTTTGTGAAGAATTTTCCTGTGAAAAGGTTTCTAATGACTACTTCAGTGCAATATAAAAATAATGCCTACGTCACTCATTATTTTACGAATTTATATTCCTTATCAGATTCCGTCAAGATTATTTGTTAAATATCGCGTCCTTGATATCTCCAAGCTTTGTTTGTACTTCTGATAATTATAGATTGATTCTTAAATACACGTGTACTTAAATAACATCGTGAAAAAACAAATTGTAACATTCCCATTATCGATGTCTAGTAGAAATAACGATAACGAAGTATCCTACATATATCAGTCGCCGTGTTTATAACTTCGAATTTTACAAGGTAGTAGTATAATAAATAAAAGAAAATTATTAAATTTTTACTGGAATGATTGCAAAAAGAAAAATAAATAATCTTTATTCATACATATAAACACTCTAATGAATCATCGTGTGACAGATGAAGTTAAGAAAAGTATGAAATACGCGACAAAGGAAAACCTTCTATGTACATTCTTTTAACTTCCTGAATATGTATTTTCGAAAACTTCTTCAGTGCCTAGGTAGGTACGTACTTCGGTACCGAAATTATCACTCTCTACTATCATACTATCTGAGTTCGTAGTACGAGAAGAGAGGCTCGTAAACGAGACACGATACAGCCGCTGTTTGCCAAGTGACGATCAGTAAGTAGATAATAGTCGTCTTCGTTGATGGAAGCGTCACGTATGCTGGATAAGTGACATCCAGTTTCGTGTTCTCGTTGCTCGTCTCGCCCTCTTATCGGCAGTAAATATTACTCGTGCATCGGAAAATCGATCGAGATTGACGTCTGAATCCTTGTTCGAGAAATATGTCGTGAATCAAGTTTATCCGTAATCAATATGTGCGTCACCGCTCTAAATTATCAATATTGTTCGTGATCTATGGTAAAACGTACCGTGTAAACATCGATGTGCCATTCTACGTCAATGCTTACCATCAGGGCCTTCTCTTTTTTCATGATAAATTCGTACAATAAGCCAGAGAGTAATTATGACTGTTTGCATAAGTGACGAATGGAAATTCGATAATATGGAAATTCTAATTGGTTGAACGATATTAAAGTGGTGTCATGATAAGGTAATCAATGCTGACGGTATCGATATCCCGGTCGAATATCAGTTTTCGATCTTTGGTTACGGATGAATGTAAGAAATTGTCGTTAGAGTCAGAGTTGCTAGGCGATTATTACACTTGGTGTTTCTGTACAAACGCAGCCCCTGTGATATAGAAATCACGCGCATAACGAGGCTTCTTTTTATTATCGTCTTGACACATATTTTTTTTCCTCATGATTTCACGATGTTAATAGTCGCGTGGAAATAAAATCGTCAGAGAGAGAAACGCTGTTCGCGCCAAAAGTACGGTTTGCAAACGGCGACAGTTACGATTCGTTACGAATGCATTTACCCTCGCTCTAACTTTTGTCGAAAAGTGTGGTGCCGGTAAAGAAATATTTTTCTTTTGGGAAAAAGGAGAAGGAGTTGTTTCGTTTGAATGAAAGTATTCAATGCATTCTTACCGACGGTCGAGTGAAATGACAGTGGTGAAGTGCGGTTGCATGTTAAGGTGATTCACGTATAATTAACGGTGTGCAAAGATTAAATGATATTCTGGCCAATTTACGAAACGGCGCGTTCAGCCGGACGTGCGTCGGCGGATCGACAATTTGCTACTGACGAAGGGCTGTAATCATGTTCCATAAAATCTCGCTTCACGTCGCGTAGACCTTCAATTTTGTTGTTCCTTTTTTCTAGATACGACGTTCGGAATGTGAAATTTCGCCAATCATTCGCAGTACTGTTAATTGTTCGTTTCAATTGCACGAAGGAAACAAAAAATATATAGTCAAGCATTTGGCAGAATAGTTCTAGGAATGGAAGCTTAGGAAAATTTGCTACTTCGCATATTTTTCTCTTCCAAAAATAATACAAAGATAACATTGAAATCGTTCTAAGATAACTTCTAATTAATTACACCAGTTAATTACTTTATTATCCATATTGACCGGCTAGTTGTTTTCTTCCCCTTTTCCTTATTTTGTAAAATAAAATATCGCCAGGAAATGTGTGTATGTGTAGTAGCGATAAATAAGAGACAAGTATGTTAGGGCGAAGATTCAGATTATTCTGAAACGCCATATTGAACAGTTTCGTCCCAACGAAGGCACTTATTGTTTTCTTTATCTACAAAGATAGCACGAAACTGCGGACCGGTCTAAGGAAGTAAATCTGTCCCTGGAAAGGTACACAAGTTTTATCATTTTGCTGAGGAGGAGGCGAAACTTGAGAAAACAACTGATCGTTAGTGCATCAAGTGCTGCCAATGCACCGGTACACTACGTATAATGCGGGTTCAGTGATGTTTGTTCATGTGCCGAATAAATTTATAGGTACATTATAAGTACTTTCGCGTGTTGAAACGTACGTGAAATATGAGAAAAAATTAGAGAAGAATAATATTGAAAAATTTAAACCTATATTATTGAACGATACATTTTTCAAGTTTCTAAATTAATTATGAGATATTACGAGTGAATTTCCTCTGTGAAAAAAAAAGTACGTGGTATGCGTGTATGATGGAGTCTGAATACTTTGAAACTTGCTGGACGACAAAGATACAACAAATTCGAAGACGGTTTCGCACTTTATTCAGAGACACGTTAGAGAGATATCGATCAAAGAGGAAGGGCTATACCAGATTTCTCACGGACGAGGAAAAGAGGTGACTCTATATCACACGCTCGGCTACTGATTAAGTAACACGAAAATAAATTTAACGGGCTCTTTGATCTGATAATTTGTAAATAAATCTGAAACGGAAATTTGACGGTTATAAATTTTGTGAAAACGATGATTACGATTTAAAATGAACATTTGGGTTTAAATTTAAATAGGAATTTAATGTTAAAATTTCATGTTCAAATTTAAATTGAAAATATTTAAAACATACTCAACTTTTCTAATTAACGGATAAAACATTTGTTTTCAATATATTTTTCACTTTAGGTGGCTGGTTACCGCCGAATACGACTTGTCCACCCGGCTTGGAATACCTTATGGCCCTTGATCATCTATTTGTACAACAAAAAATCGAATTAATCGAAGGTTCTTTATACTTTTTAGAATTTTAAATATTATTTATGGTGTACCAATGAATTGATTGAATAATTACAGCCTTCACCGGATGGGAGTCTAAAAACAAATATACCGTAATGAGTATCAGAGGAGAGACAATATATTATGTGGCAGAACAATCAGGAATATGCGCACGTTTGTGTATGGGCTCGTACCGTAGTTGTGAATTTCACGTGTTCGACAGTAACCGAAGAGAAATCCTGCGTATGGTTCGACCATGCAGGTGTGCAAGTTGCTGTTGCCCTTGCTGTTTGCAGGTATGTTTCCTTTTTTCATGCCAAAAGAATTTACGAAGTAACAATCGAACACGTAGCGGTTGTCGGAACTGCCAACATGGCGGGACAACTTATCGATTCTCAGACTTTGTATGCATCTTCTTATCTCAAACGTTAACCTTGACGCAACACGTTCTTTTCAAATTCTATTTCTTCTCTTTACTTTTTGATAAAAAAAATATTCTTTCAGCTTACGGACAAAATTAATTACTACCATAACCTTGTAATATCTTATTTTGCAATGTTACATCGTTTGATCGATCGAAAGATTCATCGCTTTTTTTTCGATCGCATAATTTGGTTTCTCTAGTTTATTCCCCTGTTCAGTAGCCGCGTTTTATTTTCCCTTCGCAGTTGTACGGTACAACCATATTTCACTTGACAGAGTCACGTAGGTAGTCAATCGGTTCATGAAGGACACGTCCGCCGGCCGCGTTACCGTAATTGACTCTTTATTTATGGCGGCCAATAGACACGGCTCGCAAAACGTTCGGCGGAGTTTCTCGAACATGCGGCGCACACAACGCGCGAACCTTCTTCACACGTGCGCACCATCTGCGGCGATTACCTTTGACGAAAAGTTATTCGGTCCATTAGAAAAGCTGGTCACGATCGATACTCTTTGACCAACGCCGCTCGTCGTCGCTTTCGGACGCGTTGTTCGACTCATAGTGAAGGACCCCCATTATTCGATCCCTAGTACGAGAACAGTTGCAAACAAACCCTTTGGCAAACATTGTCCCTAGTACGAATGTTTTTGGACATGTTGCGTCTGCATAAGACGAACGTTCGATTGATTCATCGATTTTACGGGGAGGCAATTGCACGTAGTTTCGATGCAATTTTGTTTGCAAAAGAAACTCCTTTCTGCTGTGAAAAACGTTCGCAGAAAAGTTAACGTGCAATATCTAAGTTTCACTCACGATAAAAGGTAGCAGCTTAAATTCGATCCACCGTATCGAGCGGTTGATGTATTCAGATTTCTGCGCATCTCCGTTGCGCAACACATGACTAACAGAACCGATAGCCGGCCATCGTGCTGAATAAGCTTTTTCTCACGTTCTTTATGCATGCGAATTCTTTGAATTGGATCTATGAATAGCAACGTATAGATTTTTTTTCCAAAGGGGGCATTGACCGCGGGTATTATTCGTTCAAATTTAAATCAGGCACGATTGATTGTCTTCTTAGCAATTTTAAGGAGTTGCTCGTATGGATAGAGGCTTGAAGTTGCCGCTACTGTACTTGCCCGTGCGTGTGATCGTCGATAAAGAAGTTATCTCGTTTCACGATCGTGTTCGAATAATTCATTAATTTGTTTTCAGAAATTAGAAGTATATTCTGGTGATACGTTGCTTGGTACAGTATCACAAAGTTGGAGTCTTTGGAGACCCTGGTTTTCCATTGAGGATGCGACCGGAGAAACTGTTTTAGTTATAAAAGGACCCTGGTTCCGATTTTGCGTAGACGTAACATTTAAAGTATGTAGAATACCAACTGTAATATATAGAATCCGAAACTAGTATAAATATTATTTAATTAGTGACTTGTTTTTCTTTCTTTATAGATAAAGTCTGCAGATGGAACACATAGGATTGGTGAAATTAAAAAAGAATGGAGTGGAATGGGTAGAGAAATATTCACGGACTCCGACAATTTCGGTATGAACTTCCCTCTGGATCTAGATGTTAAGATTAAGGCTGTTTTACTTGGAGCCTGTCTTCTAATTGTACGTGCATTTTTATATTCATTTTCTCAAATATTATTATTGATAAATTTATTGACATATTTATAAATATATGTTTCAGGACTTCATGTATTTCGAACAAAAAGGGAAGAGTAATTTATAGAATTTGTAAAATAGTTAAAAAAAGTATTTTTTTGCAGATCTGAGATTACTAGATTATTTTTGTGGTTTGCTATAAAATGACATTATTCAGTAATCAATGGGCATCACTATGGGTTTTCTAACGCATTAAAATTCGCCATATTTTTTATATTCTTCTATTAACTCGCAATACGCATAATTATTGTTAACGAGTGTCGTACGCAAGTGCTATTGCGTAAATATTGCGTATAAAATACGTATCCTTTTATGAAGTATATCTGACAATTGATACTCACGAGTGTTCTGGATCTTCCGAGCCTATACATTCTTCTACTACCGTTAAAAGGCTGACGTATCTCAAGTGTCATGAGCACAAGCTGTTTTTGTTGTACAAACTGCTATATTATTAAGTCTTGAATTCATTTTACTGTGTAACTAATGTAATTATATCTTAAAATCTTTTGTAAATACTTTTTTTTCTGATACTTTGTGTATTTTTAAAAGGCATTAATAATACCAACCATTCTTTGTATGTCATTATTCTTCCCATGATACCTTAATCATTTGAAAATTCATGAATATGTTCATGAAAATATTTAAGGATGATGTAACTATGTTTTAAGATTCATTTTATGATTATAATTTAAAGATACTATAAGAGGTGAGAGTGAAAAATGGACAAGAAAAAAGGAGCATAATGTGTGTCCTTTTATTTGTGTCTTAAACTTATGCTTTCATACATCTGATAGTGAAGCCATAACCGCCTCAACTGCAGCACTCTGCGTGCTATATCCGTCGCAGATGTTCTTGATTTGGGTAAAAAATGAGAATGCAAAAATAACATCATGCGTGTAACATCCTTTCATGCACACGTTGGAAAACGACCGTCGGTAATGCAGCGGGCATTGTATTCGTCGCGTTTCTTTTTAACACATCAAGAACCTGATTCGCGCACTAGATTTAGATTTCAAAACGGCGACTCGAATCTTTGTTGCAGTAATTGAGTTTCTCAGCAGTCGAGGGGGAGGATTTCTTTGTTCATTCTCAGGAAAAAAAAGTAATAAAATTTATATAAATTTTGACGTATATAAATCGTTTCAAAGTAACCTCACTTTTACGGGTTAAGTTTGTACTCAAATTAACGTTCCGAAAGAAGCTTTAAAGGATATCAAAGCGACAGCAGTTCAGATGTTGAATCGGACAATTAAAACTGGATAATGTAGTCTCGAAAAAATTCTCCTTGTCTTTCCATCAATACAAAGTCGTTCTCTATAATCATATCGAACGACACGGCGCGTTTTGACGAGAGCAAAAGAGCTTCTCGTGGCCAGGAAACAGTTCGAAAGGAGATCGATATTTCGTTTGAAACACCGTATAAAAAAACCAAGGCGTCCTCAATATGTTAAGCAGGAAGTTTTGCGATCCGTTCAATCAACGAAAACTTTACACACAACGATATAGTTATCTTTACCTCTTCGATAGACGCGTTTACAAACATCGATGAATTCTCGCGGGATAACACGGGGTGTAGATACAAGGATTACTTTTCGTAAACACTAACGTGACAGACGATAAAGCAAAGAAATACGGTCAGAGAAGAAACGATAAAGATAATAGAGAAAATGAAAGAATACTGCGTGTATTTTTTCTACATGCTGGATTACATGTCCTTAGAAAAAAAAAAAAAAACAGAAAGAAAGAAAACAGGGTGAAACGAAATCAAAATACTGTTGAAGATATAATAATGCGTATTATATGTAATGTATAATACAAGCTGCTCTTCTCTTTTTGTTTTGTTGTTTTTCTTCTTTGTTCATACGGATCGATAAAAAGGAACTTGAGTTAACGTAAGAGACAATAATAATAATATTAATAATAATGATATAACGATAATATTAATTAATAATAATAATAGTAATCATAACGCGTGTGTAGAAGGGAGAAAGGGACCGTAGAAACACGCGGAAGCTCACCGTTCGCGACAAGAATGCCAGACATTGAGTAAAAACTCAAAATATCTAATGATCTGATCTTTAGATCTCGACTAGGCTAGCTAGAGGTTTCTAGATTTCATTTTATCACGAATGGAGCTTCCGTCGCCTCTGTTTGGAACTCTAAGGACGCGCTTCTAGCTGCGTAGAAATGTCTTAGCACATCGAGGACCGGACAAAGACACTTACTTAAAATTAGGGGAGAGAAAAAATGTCCCCTTTTTTTTTTTAATTCCACGCGACAAAAAATGTACGTGGATTGAAAAATGCCCCATTGTTTTTTAGAAATCGTCTTTTCCTTTTTTTAGAATACAATTTTTCATTCCTTGATTTTTTCTTCCTCACATTCGGAAAGGTGTGAACAAACGATAATATACGTTTATACATTTGGTTAAATGTTTGCAACGTTCTTCGTGAATTCTCCTTCGAAACATGCTTTACTACATTCAGCTTGGCTCTTACAGGAAACAGTACGAATATTGAAGGTCTTTTATTTTGCTTTTCTCATTCCAAGGAGAAGATCCTCGATGTATCAAGAACGTCTAAAGGGCGAATAAAAGAGAGGGAAATGATTTCGCGTGATTGTTCTTGTCTCTTGCGCGCTTTTTAAAGTTCCTTCTCGAGTTTGATCAACTCGGCGATTCCGTCGTGCATCTCCTTCACAGCCTGGTATTCGGTCAGACCGAGACGTCGTTTGTTGGAGATGTCGTAGATGCCACCCTCGGCCTCAGTGTGCTCTCCGCGGGTACCACGGACCTGGAGGTTGAACTTTCCGGCAATCTCCTCGAGCTTCGTCCTATTGGCAGCCAGCTTGGGCAGCTTGATGTGCACTGAAGCACGGACTGTAGTACCCAGGTTAGTCGGGCAGAAGGTCAGGAAACCGAGACGGTCGTTGTGAGAGAACGGAACTCGTTTCTCAATCTCGTTCACGGCACTCACAAGACGACGATAGACCTACAAAGATTAAGAGGGTCAATTACATGAAACCTGATAAATTCTTTACTTCTATGATTTATTTTGTACATTTACCTGTCCAAGGTCACCACCCATTTGCATGGAGATGATACGGAGATGGTCCTCCTCATTGCACCAGACCAAGAAGGTCTTGGCGTCGTTGTGGAAAATACCACGGCCAGTGGGCCAGAAACGGCAAGCGTTAGCGGCCTGCAAGAAACGGTCACCCTCCTTGAAGAGGAAGTGGTCGTCGATCAGTTTTTGCTGGATCTCTTTGCTCATGCCGGTCAGAGGGTAGAAGGTTCCCTTCAGTTCACCCTCCAAACCGGACAGAGTGCTGGAGACTTTCTCTTCCATCTCCTTGTACTGGGCCTCGGTTAAGCAGGGGTTGAAGGGGTAGCCCTCCAAAGAACGACCGCATCTCACACGGGTGGAAACGATGAATTCACTCTAAAAATGTGAAGGATTAATTAGTACTTTGTATATATACATCTGCAATATTTTCGGAAGTGAAATTTCCTATTGTATACATTATTTGCTATACTAACAGCAGGGTCAAGATTTCCAAGAGAATCAACGTCTCCGAAGTCCTTTGGTGGATGCTTGTCAGTCTTCTTGAAGCCACCATGGTAGTCCTCAATGATGGGGTCGAAGAGGTCAGCAAAAACTGTGTAGGACTCAGCATCAGGGGCATAGATACCAACACCAGAGTCCAAGTTCTCCACACCAGACTGGATCACATCAAGAAGGGTGGAGCCAAAGGATGTCTTCTTTGTCTTCAGTTGATCAAAGACCTCCTTGGTCAGATACTTCTTCAACAGGGACTTGCTGTCAGAGCCAGACACTTTGCTGAAGCCAGCTTCAAGTTTGTCCAAAACTGCCTGGTCCACCATGTTGCTGGATTTCTTGCTGCAAAAAAGATTGAAAATTATCATAAGTCAAGTATTCTATGGAAGAATCATTAAACATAAAAAAAAAACATTTAAAGTCTATGTTTTAATCTTTGATTTTATTCTCATTTTAAAATAGAGCAATGAATGGAATAATTTCTTCTATTTCTTTTTCTAATTCATTAATACAAGAATAAAACAATTAGTTAGAAGTTTGAAGAAAAAAATGAACTTAAAGATTTTTACAGATTTAGTTTAATTGCATTTTACATGAGACAGGAGAACACCAAATAAAATAGTAGAAATAGAAAAACCAATTTCTTTTTATTTGCAGTGAGGTGCATAATGGCTTTTATCTTAGTCAATAGATTGAAAATCAATTATACAGCGTGGGTAATCAAGTGACAATAATGCCGCTGAATTTCTTATCAAAGTCTTATCATGAGTATTACGGGCTTGTTTGTACGTATTATTTACATTAGATCGTATGTGATTAGTCATGAAACGATTGTCCGTTATCACGATGGAATACATTTCAAGATTTCAGCAGATCTGTGTATCGATAAAATATCTGTATACCACGCATTCGGCACTGAGCAAAATACAAAGTTCGCGCCACAGCTTTACACATTTTATTACTTCGTATCGAACACGGCTTAATAATTGCAGTTTTTTACGTAAATATCATAAAACGAAATAGAAACATCTTCAAGTTGCTGATACGCAACAAAATTTACAGCGCATACAGGAAACAAACATTCTTTGTCTAAACATCGAACCGTATTTTAAAAAAGTCTACTACCTTTCCCAAAAGCATTCTTGCATCCCTCAACGATAACTTTCCTTTGAGACACACTGTATATACAACGGTAAAACTTTTACGTAACATCACCCTCGCCACTATCCAACTTTTCCAACCCTTCACAATTGCAAAAAAAAAAAGGACTAATTAACGATCATGAGAACACGCTTCAACAAATTTCTCACACGCTCTACATAACAATTATTACAACGTAATACATAATCATAAAAAAAAATTATGGTGATTTTTAGAATATTTTTCAAACGTCTCAGAATCAATCGAAATATATATTTATGTAGAAGTAAATAGAAATGACTCTAGAATTGTTACGTTACCACGTTCCAAAGAGTTTGACAGTCTGTCGATCGACAGAATGATCGAGGAATCGGGCCAACGGTCGCGCCACGACATCCTTCGATGAGGAGAGGGCTTTAAGGAGTTTAAACGGGCCCAACATCGGTAATTCCACGAGCATCGCCACCTTGCCAGCGTTTTATGCGCAAAGGATTCATCGTTACTCGCGTTCTGCCGGTTATGATCGGAAAAGATGCCTGTAGGGCGCGGGGTCGAGAACGAGTATCGAATTACAGGCGTGAAGTTGGCAACGACAAAGTAGCAGAATTCGATACCATGGAAATATTTCCTTTTTCCTTCTGTTCTTTATAATCGCATTAATCGCGCTTACGTAATATAACGATATTAAAGATATAATCTTGATTGTTTAACAATTTCGTATATGATTTATCAGTTGAACAATTTGTTTTCATTAAATTGTTATGAATTTTCATGAATCATTGAAAACGATAGGAACGAACGTTCAATAAATTAAAAAGACGATAAAATATAACGTACGATGATGTTACATATTAATCAGATTTTTTTATCAGTGCCACGAACATTTTGCAAGGTGCCAGGTACACTGTTCAAAATAATTCAATCATTCATATTGTAATAGGTAGTTATAGAAATGTATAATTGCTTGAATCGATGAATCATTAATTACTTTGAGCGATGTACAATATTGTAACGGTCAGTGGTATAGGCGTGTCTTGTCATTGGTGCACATTTTTGGGACGGTTCACAAAATGCTTCGCTCGAACTTAACAGGAATAACATTTACTAACCACAGATATATTAATGTACAGATAAATACTGATAAAAGATACAGGAAGATATAGCAAAATTAAATTTGAAGATAAAAGGATTACACGAGCAATTTTAATGCTACTTTATGCTTGCTTTAAATGTGAAATTTATAATCTAATAGATAATAGTATTAATTTCTTTTTGGATTGCGACGTAAACAATATTGACTTTTTTAAAGATTAGAATAGAAAATGTTTCTTTTTCTTATCGGACAATTTTGATTAAAAATTGCTGAAACTGATTATATACTGCACTGATATATTGAAAATTTTTTTAATAATATTCTATATAATATAACATTCTTTTACGATTTTTCAGAAAAAGGTGCATAAAGTTTAAAACAACAGAACACTACGCTAAATAACACAGCACGTAACATACTTAATCTTTAATTACCATGTAATTAAACAAAAATGTTCAATTTTTTTGTTCTTTTTTACAGAATCAAGTAAGTTCGAGCGAGATTGCGGATTCGGTTGCCTTTCGAAAGAATTTGTGCCGGCAATACGTACTCGTCCTCGACGTTCGTTTCATCCAACGAATCGCATATGCTCAGCGACGTGCATACGCCCATTGTCGACGATTATGCGTCGATTATGCCTCGATTATCGCCTAGGGTTATGCGTCTATTTATAAGCGAGTCGAACAGTTAACGGTCGATCCTTTCTTTTTCTCTTTAGAAAAAACCTGTGCGCACCCGTAGCCGGCGAAGAAAAGACAGGCAGGCAGCCGCGTGTGTGTATAGTAACCGATGTCTCACTCGTGACGACGTCCGCCAGGATCAGGATGACGACGCGGCGATCTCATCGCGTGTTTTTCCTCGCTAACGTGAAAACAGACTCTCTCAGCTGAGATTCTTGTTCAACAACGAGACATCCAAGAGGATTTACATATATTCGTAATTGCGAATAGTCCTTAACGTTTAGAACATTTTCTCATATACAGGGTGTCTCAAAAGGAACGTTCGAATAAAAATTGTCAATGAAAAATAACTGAAAAATTTGTTTAAATTAAAATTATACTTTTAGTTCGTGAAAAGGACAATTGGAAAAAGTAGTATTGATGAATTTTTATGGAATGAGAATTTTACATAGTATAAATTAGTAAAAAAATTGAGGTTATGTTTCAAGTAATTGCACATTTCATCGTTTCTTTTTTATATTTGAAATATCAGTTGAGAGGTTTTAATTGAAAAACAAATTACTTTGCGTAATTTTTATATTATTCGAGCATCATTAGTGCAAATTGTGGAGAGAGGAAAAAATTGTTAGCTGCTTTGAAATGATTAACGCGGAGATGTATGTTGATTAAGCACGTTTTAATTTTGCAATCTTTTTTAATCTTCTTTTTACCACCCTGTATATGAGTCTGACAGATCTCTTGAATGAACTTCGTGCGCTACTGGAAGTGACGTGTTCATTTCAATTATCAGATAGCATCGTTGCTTGCGAATAGAGTTAACAGTAGTTGCGTTGAGCTTTCTGTTGCATCTCGCGTGCATATGATGAACCGCAAGCGATAAGTATCCTGTTAATTAATTCTCAGACGATTTCATTCGCAAATGCAACTTTGTACCCGAACGTAATTGAATTAAAATTTATCTTCACGCATTAAAGCACGAACAGAGTATTTTCGTAATATTAGCAGAGAGTCATGTTTAAGAAGAGTCTGAAATAAAGCGAGAAATTCTGGAACTTTGAAAACTGTTCTTTTTCACCAAAAAATCGCTCGCCAAAAACAATTCTCGAAATATTAATCACAGACAAAAGTAAAAATTTCCTATAGAATGGTAAATGAAATTTACAATAAAACGAGAAACTTCAAACTCTCAGAAGTCCATCAAAAACTAATTCTCGTTTCGAACAATACTTTGTTAAATATCACAGAAATCATATCAACTAGTAACCGCGCTCAATCTCTCTCAATTAAAAACAAAAAAAAAAAAGAAAAGAAAAAAAAACACTAGTAAAGTCCCCCAGAACATTTTCTAACGACCATTTCATTCTCCCCGAGGGTAACAATGGTAACGAGGGAGTCGAAGTGAACACACACAGGCCGATATATCGTGCGAAATGCAAATAAAATTTTTCAGTCGACCTGTTTCCCGTCCACGCCCCTGTGTAAGGGCAGAGGGTTAACCCTTTTGTGTGAACCAACAAGGGTAAGTCCCCGGGTTACTATAAACGTCGACTACTACTACAGTACACTCGCCGTCGTCCCTGTGTTCTTTTTATAAAGGACTTTAAGGGAACGTTCACGAACCGTGCGTATTCGATACTCGAAAGAAAGGAAGAAAAAAAACGTTTTCTAATTTGATGCCTCATCCTCTCCTCCGTTGCAACAATCGAAGCGGTTCGAAAAAATGGAAACAATCTCTCGCTTACCATGGTCGATAGGTAAGTTGCTCTTCGTGCTAAAGAGATCCGGAGATCGGATAGAGCGATGAATGAAACGTGGATAGAAGGTAAAACCGAAAGAGTGATTTCTAATGAATTTCTACTCGGCTAATGAAGCTATTCTCACCGGTTAATAGACGTTAAAAGTTTTAGTCGAGATGGGGGGGATTCCCGTTGGCCTGTGGGAAACTTGAGGGATAATGAAGTTCCGAGTAACTCGTGAGCGAGGTTTAACGATCGAGTAGTAGTGACGGGAGCTTCGATGACTCTTCCGCTGGCAAACAGTTAGAATCGAATGCCGAATTTTGATGATGAGAACGTGTTTTTTTTTTTTTTTAAATAATGATAACACACGTGTGGATGCAATTGTTATCCAATTTAAAGTGGATTTTCTCGGAGGTGAAATTTTCTACAGGATGATTCCCAAGTGCGTATTTTATTTATGAGTCACCCTGTATTAACAAGAATACATTATACATTTTATAAAATAATTCTGCAATATTCCTCGAAATCAGTCGCGATATAATTGATATTTCAATTAGTCAGATATCGTCGTTTCAGTAACAAACTTAGGAAACTGCAAAAACTGAATTTTTCAAGATAGGAGAGAGAAAACCACTTTGTCACATTTTATATTAATTGACAAAGTGGTTTTCTCTCTCCTCTCTTGGAAGAAAAATTCAATTTTTCCAATTCCGCAATTTTACCCACCGGAACGACAATACTTCACTTGCTACACACACTCTACAACCCCCTCCCCAAAGTGCTTTTAAAAGCACCAATTAAATCATACACACACTCCAACTCAGCTAGCAACGAATGAAAATGCAGCAGAAGAGTACAAACACACAGTCGAAATATTTCTCCGGCTCGATCAATAATCCACCGCAATACGTTAATCACGAGAGAGGCTAAATGAGTCATCGCACGAGTTCTTCCGATGCATCAATTACGAATTCCATGAATGTCTGATCTGACGTACTCCTACGTCACTAGGCGGGCACCGAGCCAAGTGACGTCACCAATGTGAACCACCGAACCGATTCACATATACGCACACATTTCTCACCCATACACGATTTCCCATAAACAAAAAAATTTCGAAAAAACAGTAACAACGATAATTCCACCTGATACAATAATTAGACAGAAGAAGCAAGAGAGTGAGAGAGTAAAAAAAAAAGAAACAAATATTCTTTACACGTTATATTCTACGTACTCGTCGTTCGACGTGCTATCCTTCGAGGTACATCCGCCCATGACGACGACCACGACGACGATGACGACGCCCCGACGAGAGAGAGACAGCGAGTAAAAGAGAGACAGACAGAGTGTGTTCACCTCCCCGATTAATCGAACTTCACCTCTTCACCACGTTCTCTCCTTGCCCCACGTCCTCGAGGAGGATCTTCGAGACCGGAAGTTCACGGGGGAACAAGAGGGTGCGCGCGTGTGGCTTGGCGCGGCGCGGCGGCACACCTCCTCTCACCAAGAGGCAAGATGGACGGAAAACGAACGCGTGTTCCCGACTAGGAACACGCTATAGCCGGTTGTACGGCGTGTGCGTTTCGAAGCACTTCCGGTTGTCCTTGGGGTAGTCACCCCCTGGCAAAGTGTCAAAGGTCGACCGGCCGAGTGTGTCTTTCTGGTCGTTGTCCCCTCTTTCACGGGAACTCTCTCCTCGTTCGTGTCGTGTGTCGTTTATTGTTGATTCACGAAAAACTTCCTGATAAA